TCGAACATAAAACACAAGTTTTAAAGAAATTTCATAAATTGAGTTGGTAGAGTACTATTTATTTATTTTGAGAGTTCTCTTTATATAGCTTTTATCAGGTTCGACCTGATTTATGTGGGAAGAAAACAATATTAAACAAATCTCTTTAAATTCTATTTTCTAAATTTTAATCTTGAATAATGTCCAATTTGCATATCAAAATTTTCAGAGAGAGAGAGAGAGAGGAGAAGAAAAATCAATGAATCAAACATTAATTACACCAGAATTTTTCAATTTACGCCCAGCCTGAAAATAAATTATGAACCCTAATTTCAGCCTTGACTTACAATTAAATAATTTGCAACGCCCAGTAGAGGATAGAAAACATTATAAGTTTTGTCTAGATGATAATGATCAAAACCCTATAATTTGGTACATCAAGAAAATAATTATCTTCATACAATACATGAGAAGAAGTAAAAATCTTATTTGTAGTAGTTACTCTATATATTCGATTTCGTATTTTTACGTACCTTTTGTAATCTAGATGGCTCGACTCGATTTACCTCGATGAAAGAAATGTGTCTTCAACGGTCCTCAAGTCTTCCAATACTCCATTGCTAGGGAAGTTGATACCAGCAGCATAATGGAATATTGGAAGCCCTTGAGGACAGTTGGAAACTTTACTAATGAAATAAGTATTCTTTCTCTTCTCTTATTGCATGCTCTCTACAAATTTTGATAGGCAATTAAAGATCCAACAGGTTTATATAGTTGACTCATAATTATTTTGTGGATTTTCCCCGGTGTACAAGGAAATATATACAGGTACCTTACAAGTGCTACGCTGGCAGCACCTGTATGGTGCCTTTTTTTCTTTTTTTTGTTGATTTTGCCAAAAATCAATGAACAAAGTTAAGTATTCATCTGTAAAAATTCTATCAAATATTTTTTTGTACATGTAGCATCACACTTATTTTGTTCTTTTTTAATTTGTGATGGAAAATATGTGGCGTCAGAAGCCTATTCTAGCTGGGGCTAACCATGTTAGAATGAGTATCAAATAAAATGTAAAAATCAATTTTACGTGTATATATTTTTTTACATTATTTTTGACATTATACCACATGAAGATACATTATTGGACAGTTTTGAAAAAAATACCATTTTCCGCCCAGCACTTTTTGAACTTCAATGGAGTTTACACAAAGATGTAACCAAAAAATGTACCCATAGCATTATTCTAGATTTTATTTATACTAGAACTTACTTATTACTTAACTTTTTAAACTTAGCCTAGCTCCAATTACTTTATTGTTCATCAATGTGATCCGTGCATTCAGCTTGTCATGTTAATTATGCCTAGTTTGATGGTCATTATTTTGAGAAAATTGAAATTTTTTTTTTTTTTTGAATACATGATTAAAAAGTAATAAATATTTGGGTTTACATGTAAAATATTTTGTCGTGTAAATGTGTAATTGAAAATAAGTATGAGAATTAAAGAATTTTAAAATAATGAACGGACGATATAAACCATGTGCTCCCACTGATTAAGGCACATAACTGATCTGTTTATTCTTACTGAAAAAATGATTATTTTATAAATATTTTACTCAAATAATTTCTTTATAAAAATGACAAGTAAGGTTTACGAGTAAAATGAGAAGTGAAAGCTTGAGAAGCCGCTCCGTAATTCGAAGGGTCGAGAGAATATTTTTCGCGTCTTTTCCACTGGATTAAAACGACAATTTATACTTTTAACAAATATAATACAACAAAAAGTAAGAAAGAAAGGTCCACCGCCATGAATTTATTGGTATATAGCACTGGAATCCACTTATCAACAATTGATATTAATATTTAATGCAGATAAAGAAAAGTTAATCGGCACCATTCAATGATTTAGACACACCGGACCACCACAATTAAAAGTAAAAAAAACATTCAGGTGTTTTTTTTTTCGCAAATTCATTTTCAACTATACAATTTATGAGACCCACGACTTCTATCAATTTCTATCAATCTCTAAAAGTGAGACTTATTCATCATGACATGACTTCGTAATCCAAGGTCAATTAATTAAGTTAAAAATTTAGAAGGTGCTTGGTGGAGATTAAAATTAAATTTTTAGTAGATTGTGATAGAAGTTTTTGAAATGTATGGTTGAAAAGTTATGGAACCCATGAAAAATGTGGTTAATATTGATTGTTTGACTTTGACTTGAATTAAAATCGAATTTTAATCCGGACCAAACGAGAGCTTAATCCTTTTGAAATGGATTACATTCCCCGCTAAAAAAGGTGTTCATGGTTATAAAGAAAATCTTGTTAATTATGTTAAGAATAAATCCTCGTGTACAAAAATGAGGTTTACGAGGATTTTACACCCTCTCACAGTAGTGGGTCCCATTGTAATTAAAAATAAAAAAAATTATCCATGCACCAAACCACCCCTTCCGCTATGTACATGTAGCATGGCTCATGCCATAATTAAGGATTTTATTCTCCACGTATTCCAATGTATCCTTGGCTTGTCGGACATGCACATGTTAATGTTATTTATTATGTTGGACTAAACTAAATTAACGAATTTATACCAATTCTAGGTAGTAAAATGTTGTTACTGCTCCTCTCCTTTATTTCCATGGAATTTGCTCACTAAACAGATAGCCTTTTGAGCTCTATTAAAATAAACATAAACTTTTCTAAAGGCATAAATATAAGCGTGAATTGCAATTAATGTACCAAAATTTTCATTTAGTAGCAGACTTGATTCAAACATATTATTTGTGCCACCGTAAGTACCAAATCAAAAAAACATAAAAAACGATACTGCTAGAAAGATGCACACTTTTGAGATGCTTTTTTTGAAAATAAAAAATAAAAAAACTGCTGTCAATCAAGGAAAAGCACACATCCATTGAGCAAATAAATCAACAATATCCTTACATTCAATGATACTCTGAACAGGAAAAATGTATCTGAAGATTATTATTATTATAGCAAAAATGGAAAATTCCGAACGGTAGGTATATGTTGCGAGTATGTAGCAGAAGTATACAACAATTACCTAGTACTCAACACAGATATCGTTATGTATCCTTAAATCTCAACGTCATTAATCAGCCAATCCCCATAGCTATCTCGAGGGGGATCTAAAGTCTAATTTATGTCCAAATAATGACCATCAGTTTCGAAAATAATCTTATTCAACTTTCATCATCATCAGTGTTTTTTTTCCAATGTGTAGCCGTATAGCTGTAGTTGAGAATCACCTAATCGAGATCTAGACTCTTTTTCATAGTCACTTTTTGAACTTCAATGGAGTTTACACAAAGATGTAACCAAAAAATGTACCCATAGCATTATTCTAGATTTTATTTATACTAGAACTTACTTATTACTTAACTTTTTAAACTTAGCCTAGCTCCAATTACTCTTTATTGTTCATCAATGTGATCCGTGCATTCAGCTTGTCATGTTAATCATGCCTAGTTTGATGGTCATTATTTTGAGAAAATTGAATTTTTTTTTTTTTGAATACATGGTTAAAAAGTAATAAATTTTTGGGTTTACGTGTAAAATATTTTGTTGTGTAAATGTGTAATTGAAAATAAGTATAAAAATTAAAGAATTTTAAAATAATGAAGACTATATAAACCATGTGCTCCTACTGTTTAAGGCACATAACTGATCTGTTTATTCTTACTGGAAAAAATGATTATTTTATAAATATTTTATTCAAATAATTTCTTTATAAAAATGACGAGTAAGGTTTGCGAGTAAAATGAGAAATGAAAGCTCGAGAAGTCGCTCCGTAATTCGAAGGGTCAAGAGAATATTTTGCACGTCTTTTCCACTGGATTAAAACGACAATTTATACTTTTAACAAATATAATACAACAAAAAGTAAGAAAGAAAGGTCCACCGCCATGAATTTATTGGTATATAGCACTGGAATCCACTTATAAACAATTGTATATTAATATTTAATGGAGATAAAGAAAAGTTAATCGGCACCATTCAATGATTTAGCAATTTTGCTAAATGCACGGTCTCCTTTCACATTGAGTTTCACAGTTCTCTCACGCGTGGGTGAGGCCCACACATGATGAGCCCCACCTCCATGTGAGTGGACTGTGAAGGAGACTGTGAAGGGAAACTATAAGTGTAGCATTGTTCATGATTTAGGCACACCGTACCACCACAGTTAAAAGTTAAAAAACCTTCCGGGTTTTTTTCCTGCAAATTCATTTTCGACTATACATTTTATGAGATCCACGTATCTTTGACTTTTCGGACATGCATATGTTAATGGTATTTATGTTGGACTAAACATATTAACGAATTTATACCAATTCTAGGTAGTAAAATGATGTTACTGCTCCTCTCGTTTATTTCCATGGAATTTGCTCACTAAACACACAGCCTTTTGAGCTCTATTAAAATAAACATAAACTTTTCTAAAGGCATAATTATAAGCAAGAATTGCAATCAATGTACCAAAATTTTCATTAATGGTAGACTTGATTCAAACCTTTTATTTGGGCCACCATAAGTACCAAATCAAAAAACATAAAAACGGTACTGCGAGAAAGATGCAAACACTTTTGAGATGCTTTTCTAGAAACTAAAAGATAAAAAAACTGCTGTCAATCAAGGAAAAGCACACATCCATTGAGCAAATAAATCAACGATATCCTTATACTCTGAACAGGAAAAATGTATCTGAAGATTATTATTATAGCAAAAATGGAAAATTCCGAACGGTAGGTATATGTTGCGAGTATGTAGCAGAAGTGTACAACAATTACCTAGTACTCAACACAGATATCGTTATGTATCCTTAAATCTCAACGTCATTAATCAGCCAATTCCCATAGCTATCTCGAAGGGGATCAAAATTCTAATTTATGTCCAAATAATGACCATCAGTTTCGAAAATAATCTTATTCAACTTTCATCATCATCAGTGTTTTTTTCCCAATGTGTAGCCGTATAGCTGTAGTTGAGCATTACCTATTCGAGATCTAGACTCTTTTTCATAGTACTTTCATCATCATCAGTGTTTTTTTTCCAATGTGTAGCCGTATAGCTGTAGTTGATAATCACATAACCGAGATCTAGACTCTTTTTCATAGACTCGTAAACCAGATACGTAATGCTTGCTGCTGGTACAACTTTAAAAAGATTTGGGAATAGTCCCTTATAGAATCCCCTTAAACCTTCACGCTGAAATGTTCTATAGAATACATCCGACATCCCTTTGTACGCAGCATCTGTATTCATGCTCTGAGCTTGCATTCTAAAAACTATTACTTGTTAGCATTACTGGAAGTAATATCACGTATATTCTGTGAACTTGGACCCAACGAACAAAATTGAATAGTAGCAAAGAACGAAATTTTGAATATTTTACCTTGTTCTTATCACCTGCAGAGGGTAAACACACGTTGCCCCAAGTGCTCCCGAAATTGTTCCACAACCGAGCTGAACAAGAGGACCAGGTTCTGCATAAAATTGGAAGTTTTTACAATTGGCACGATCATGACAAATCCGATGAAATAAAAGAAAAGTGGAACAATTTCTCAGAAACACGGAAAATGTAAACAATACCACCGTCATGAAGAATATATTTCTTGGACATATCTTTCAAGGTCTCATAGGCAGTTAAGTCAATGCCTGCATAAGGAATAATTCCAAGAAGAGATGGCACCAACCCTCTGTAAAATGCTCGAGGTCCCTCCTGAACCCAAATATCTTTAGATAATTTCCCCAGACTTGGCACGTTTCCTTTTTCACAAGCATAAGTCTGTAATCGAGTTTTCACAAGATCCATCGGATAAATAGAAGCTTGTGCCACAGCTCCAGCCAATCCACCAGCAACAAGTCGCCCCACGGTTCCTATATCCTCCTGCTTTTCACCTTTAGCATCTCCAATTATAGTTTTCAATGTTTCGTAAGTGTAAAACTTGATAGCACTTTCTGGTGCAACTTTCAACACATTTAACCCGTTACCCCGAAAAAAACCCAAAAAACCACCTTCCTTCCATAGTTTTTTAACTGCAGGAACAATAGCAGCATGATCAGTTTGTACTTGTAAAATCACCTTCAGGCGATCAAGAGGTGCAGTTGTAGTACGAGAAGCAACTCCTGCAACTCCACCTGCAATCAAATATTTGGTTGCATGAACATGCTTGCTGATGCCTTCAGGAATCACGGCTTGCTCACCAATATCTACAAGATATACCCTTTCCCAGTAGCGATATATGTTTTCTATGGTAGCCTCATGTGGATAAAGCAGAAGAAAATCTCTCCATTCTTCAAAAGTTATAATTCCATTATTGTCTTTATCAACATGCTCAACAAAATGAGCAAGTTCATCATCATCCATTTCTATCCCTGCAAAAAGAAGCTGTCATGGCTTATAAGATGAAGACAACTGATATACTGGAAAATTCATCACTGAGAAATATTCCAGCCAAGACTTGGAAATTCAAAAATTCAGCATGAACACACAAAGGAAAAATCCAATGGCTTCATAATGTTCTTTGAGCGAGGAAATCAAAAGAAATAGCTGCCCCCACAAAAGATCAGCAAAAATCCAAGCAAAGAAGGAAGAATTAAAAATAGAGGCTAATTGATAATATTTCGGTTCTAATTTAAATTTCTATTGCATAACTATACAAGCAAATTATGTGGCTATGTAAATATGGGGAAAAAAAACATAAAGTAAATAAAATAATCAGTGTTTAATCAGAGAAAATTTACACATTAAGGGAGAAACTTATTTAATATCGTGGCAGAAATAAGATATGTAAGTCCTAATTTCCAACCTAAGAAGCCCAGATAGAAACCTGTATACGGCAATTCCCAAAAAGGTGGAATATTACAAGCAAGAGACAAATTTATTAAAGATTAAATTCTATTATACACTGTCATTGATAAGCTTAAAAGGTCAGTTTACAGAATAATGATTAGACCTGCTATGAGTTATGGTATTGAGTAATGGACTCTTAAAGAACAAATTTACATAAGATACACTTAGTGAATTGCTAACATGATGTGTGGTTAAACTAAAATGGATAACATAATAAATGAGAAAGATGCCGGTTGAGGATAAATTAAGAGGAGGACAACTTAAGTAGTTCGGACATGTTTTTCGTAGGCCAAAATAGGCTCTCTTTCAGAAGAGAGACACAATCTCAATAGATCATGCCCGTGAACTAAAACTAACGTAGCACAATGTAGTTGCTCAGCATCTAGACGCTATAGATCTTCCACTAGATCCAGCAATGAACTCAACCGAATGGTGGAAATAGATTCATCTTGTAGACTTCAAATACATTGGAGCAATGTTTAGTTTGTTATTACTTTGTAGTTGTACATTATCATTAATATTTGTATAGTAAAATTGATATGCTAGTACATGGTTGTATGGATAGTTTAAAGAATTAAAATCCAACTACACTTGTAGATTAGTGGTTTCTTCAATACAGAAAAATCTATTTTAACAAAGAACATTACAGGTAGTTGTTGAAGGAAGACGCTGTTCATAAAAATTTGAGTGATGAATCTTGTTAGTTATTATTGTCCTAATTTCTGTTGGAATGGGAACCGAGAGGGAGATAAACAAGGCGGAAGCATAGGTTTTCAATTTTTCACCACCTCTCTTTCGAAATCAAGAATAGGACCCCATGTAGCATACCGTGTGAAAATAACATGCACGCGGTGAATTTAAGTGGTATCTTAATCTAGTGTCGGCCTGACTATAGGCGGGGTGGGCGATCGCCTAAGGCTGCGCTCTAGTAAGGACCCCAAATTATGTAAGTTTAATTGGTCGGTTGAAGAAAAACGAAACTTATATTAAGAAATTCTTTAAATTAGAATTATCATGTGCAAACACAAGAAACTAATAAAATTTGAAAATACAAAAATCTCTAAAAAAAATTCATATAAATGGCCTTTATATTAGATGACATAAAACTTATCACATGCATTTATGTATAACATAAATGTATCACAGCCATTACATGTCTCTATAACTAATTTGACTCTTTATCTTCCAAAAATCATTTTTTTCTTAACCAGAATAAAAGGTTTATTTTCTCTTCAAAATTCACGATCATTAGATTTTTTACTGCTCTCATGGTGGGTCTTCCACTAGCTGCTAAAAGTTCTCTCTCTAGAATCTTGCATTTTGTTTTATTTTTCCAATTTTTTTTCCCCAATTTCTAGTGTAATTGTATTGATCAATGTTTTAATTGAATTAATGTTTCTCATTGTGTTATGTAATCTAAAAGAATAAATTTAATTTAGACATTCAAAAATTTTAAATTATTATTTTTGTAACTTTGAATATATATATATATATATATATATATATATATGGAGGAATGATGTAATGAGCCCCATTGCTCATTTTATGCTAAGTACCGATAATGTGTCATATCAATTTATTGGTGGATAATTGTATAGTGGGTCTTAAACATTTGAATTTAATTTGATATCCACTAATTGATTGAAATGATACGTCACCGGTGCTTAATATAAGATGGTCACCGGTGCTCATTAGATTATTACCCTCTCTATATATTCATGGGAGCCCCATATTTGAAGTTGGCATAATGCCCCCAAAATATCAAGGATGGCTCTTACCTTAATCGTATAAATCTGTTCCTCTTTGATTGTTTCACTACACTTCAAGCTTCCAATTACTACTACAAAAGAGGCTATTCAAGTGGGCGGGAAACTTCATATACTAGCTTGGATTGGATCTAGTATAGAATTGGAGAAAACAATGATAGTGCAGTGTGTGTTCTTACAGCCGGCAAGTACAAGATAAGGGTTAGGTGGTGCCTGCCCGCCCCGCCTCCTCCATATATACCTAGTCCCTATCCAGCTCACTCTCCTATCTGTAGCCTTAGTATACTAAAATGCCGATATTGTACCTGAGAATGGAGGACCAAATGCTCCATGGTGTCATTGTTGGTTGTGGGTAGCTCTTAATAATTTGAGGTTCTTGATACTTGTATCTGTTTTGTGGGCTTAAAGTTTATATTGAGAACCATGTTTTCTTTCCGTAACATACATATTATGAAAATCATGTTTTGAGTGGTATATTTTTGTTTTGTAGTTACAATGTATAATTATCTTAGTTTTCTAAAAGTTATGTACCTTCGAGACTTATGTATGATTAAATGGCTATTTCATCCATGCATATCAATCTAGCTAGGATTGACAGTAAAATATATCCACTATCTTGGCAGATAGAAACCTCTACATGATTTTTGGACTCCTTTAAAGCCATGATTTTTGGACATTGTTAATCATATTATATTGTTATTAGGCTATACATGGAATGGGTGTGACACCAAGTTCCTCTGAGCCCAACCAATCATGAGAACATGCAAAGGAAAACTAGAAACCACTCATTTTGTCAATTGATTTTAGAAAGAAGCACTTCCCATTTATACAACATGTGATGTTTTTTTCCTCCCCGAGTCCTCTTCTTTCAGAATTCCCAACAAGCTGAGCAATAATTTTGTCTTCTCTTGCCTCCTTATCTTTCTCTTATCAAAACTCGGGGGGGAGGGGAGAGCATCTAAGACCTTAGAAATAAGGCATTGATGTGCATGCACTTGTACAAACATGCAAATATGTACATATGATATGCGTGTGTATCGAGGATGTCAAGATCTGAATCCTTATTCATATTGTTTTGGCTGTTGAGGATCAAATAATAACTCATAGAGAAGGATAAGAAAATTATATCACTTTTTAAAGTTAAAAAAATTTATCTGAGCTATTAAAAACAAAGCAGAAGCTTGTATTGCCAACAATTGATTAATTCTTGAGGTTGATGTGTGTTGTTTCTATTATTAAAATACATTTAAATTTTTTGAATCATAATATCATGGTATTCTAAGATCCAGATTGGAATTTCATTACCTATGGTGCATATACAAAAATAAATATATGTAAGACAACAGGAGATGCAATGCAATATATACCCATCAAGCATAATGGAGAACAAGAGATTAGTCCATTTTCAAGAGCTTTTCTTTGTCATGCATCCAACCCCGAGTTGTGGTGAAGACTACCTCATTTACATTTGAAGCTCTGAAATTAATATTTAATAAATTAGTGGTGTTTAATAATAAGTATTACAAGATCAAATTTAAAACTTTAATACCATTATTTTTATCAATTTGCAAAAAATAAAATAAAATCCTATTAAATATTAGCACAAGTATTTTAACTATACAAGTTTGTATTGTTATATAAAAAATACAAATTAATTAAGAATGAGATAAAACGTACGATTAAGTTGAAATAATGGTAAACATATCATCAACATGTGATCCTACCCCCAACTTAATCATTCCTCCAAATCATAAAACACCTTATCTTCTTCACCATTCCTTGAAACACAAAGATAATTATAAACATCGCTGTGATATTTGTGACTAAAATGGAGAGTTTACACATGTTGCATCTTATTACGAAATTTCTTAACTAGCGAACAATAAAAATAAGATAAATGACAAGGGCAGCATTGTCACCATAAAGCAGCAACTGATCTTAGTATAAACTACATTTAGTGCAAAAGCCATGCCTTCAGAGTTAAATTTGGCTATTCAAGCTCCGAGATAAAAAAGAAGGAAGATTAACAGCCAGAACAACATGGGTAAGCAAACCAAAAAGTTCTAACTAGCTCAATGTGCATTTGTGGACAGAGATTATAAAATACAATACTACAGTTGGACAAGAAAAACATTGCATATTGCACTCTTGAATAATTTGGATTAAGCAATTATTCTATTGCTATATTATATTGAATTTCAGTATGGTGGAACTGAAGCCACAAATATTGTAGAAAAAAAGTCACAGGACATGTTACTCGGAGTAGCATTCTACATGACAACAGGGCTTTGTAGCGCAAGTTAAATCATTGCATCTTCTTCAATATCATGCCTATGAAAAATTATTTGTTAGAGATGCTGTTACAGTGTTACCAGATAGGGAAGGGAAAATACAGAAATCAATACTTTCTTAGCCCCTTATTGTAATCTGATTAGTTTCCCTATTGATTCTGATCTGCTTAGACCTCTAAGTCAACTGCCAAGGCTAAATCCAAAATAGATTTTTGGCTCCAGTTTCAAACATCTCAATCACATTCTAACTCTAATGAGAATTCCTTCACCATTCATTCGAGACAAACTAGTACCTGATTAAGATTTGATATACTTGGAACAGAATTCACTGTACTATTAATTCAATTTCACTGAAAATTTAGTTCTTTTCACACTCCATTTCCCTACTACGACAATTTACTTCAAGTATTCATTTGATGAGAAAAGATTTTGGAATTTCTATCATCAAAATTCTTAAAAGTGAACCACTCCAATTCAGATTATATATCTACATTACCAGTATACAAAGCAATATCATCACACACGCATGCATAAAAAGACAGTCAAACAATACATGAACTCAAACCAGATTTCAAATAACAATAAAAGAGAAACACGTTAGCAATCATATACCAGCTTTGACAAGAGCATCCCACAACTCCTCTGGCAAGATGCATCCATTGTGCTCAACATCAATAGCCTGGAAAATCCTGTACAATTCCAGCTCCTTATCATCCATATATTTCCTGAACTCCTGATAATCCACCCTCCCATCCTGATTTTTATCACAAACATTCAGTAATTCTTTGGCATACTTATAATCCTCCGGTATTTGCATTGCGGAAAGACCCTTTTCAATTTGGACAGAATCCAAGTGGCCCACATTATTCGAATCGAAATAATTGAATAAACTTCTAATTCTCGAATCTCTCTCTTCTTTCGTCTCTCCCAATGCCGATAAAACATGGTCTAGCGATACTGGACCCGGTTTTTTCACCGGGTTGCAGCCTCCGGACCGGGCTTTTTTATCCTTTTCTGTGTCTGCGGACGCCATTGCTTGAACATTCACATGCCCCTCTAATTGCCAGAGGGTTAACTTTATATTGAATTTGAATTTAGGGATCTATAGAGAAAACGGGTTGGATGCATAGAAAGTAGAAAAAATGGGGGTAATGGAGTAGGGAAGAAGGTGAAGGAGGAGGAAGAGAATATCTGTGAGGAGAATATCCCAGGAAATGAGCCGAGCTGTTGATTTGGAGCTTCTTTTTCTTGTCGGGTCAAAAACGGGGATTCGTTGGCTGAGCTTCGAAACGCACGTTGGCGTGTTATTACGGCTGCTTGCTCCGTTTGGAATTAATTATGGAGACAATATATTTATAATTTATTTTATTTGCCATTTACTATCCGATGTTATTGAATTATATGCTAATGTATGGTGGGGATTAAAAATCAGATTTTTAGTAATTTTTTATAAAAACTGTAGGTCACATTAGCTATATGGTTAAAATTAATTATTAACTTTGAATTATATTAGAATCTAAATTTTAATTCGTACCAAACATGAACATCATCGTTAATTGGAAGATTTTGCATTTTAATTAAGTTCAACATATATTCATTATTTATCTTAACTCGTTAACAAAATATTATTGTTTAAGTCTCCTTAAAGAAATGAAAATTTTGAAAAATAAACTCAATCAAATTTTTTTTTTTTTTTTAATTTACAATTTTTATGTACTAAATAAGGTTATCCAAGATGTGAAACCATCGTTTAAAGTTTAAATTTCAAAAATAATGTCATTAGCAGTTCATAGCATTACTCATATTTTAGTTTCCCATTTGGCAACATGATAGATTCCTAAGTTATAAGTTAAAATATTATTATGCTCTGCATTGCTTACCTTTTGTGTGTTTTCAAATTTTTCTTAATGGTTAGCATCACTCAGATAACGATGGGTGATGCTATCAAAAATTGTACATGTTGACTTTCGAGCTTGGCGATTAAGAATTGACACAAACGAGGTCTTTCGGTATCTGAAACAAAGGTGTCGAGATGTGTTCTCGCTGTCAATCCGATACATAAGTCAGAGAGAGAATTTGTGAAGAAATATATACTGAAAATTATGTAAAAACGTACCTTGATAATGAATTGGAATGATATATTTATAGATGTAAGTAGTGTAGTCCTAGTGGGATTGCACTATTGAAATCCCTAACAGTTCTACCATGATTGGAAGGTGCAACTTCATAGGTGTTGTATCACCCATGTGTTTGGATAAAGATGAGATGTTGGTGGTAGAATCCTTTTAGGATGAGGTAACATATTACCAGCAAGACTCAACTTCCTAGGGTTGGATAGTCCTTGACACGAAGGAGAGTCCTAATAAGGTAACGGTTGCACAGTTCGAGGTTTAGCCGTGATCTCTAGGAAAAGTTGTTGGAACGTGGATGCTCGAGCTCGAGGAGATCACGAGTGTCATGCTCAAATGGACCCTGACCTCCTCGGGTTCTTGCTCAGGCTACACCCCTATATTGGTATCGTCCCGTGCATCCATGCCAGAGCCTAATACTCAAGATTCTGAGATGTGATGCACATTGTAACTTAGTAGGAACGATCATCCTTTTGTGATATGGGGATGATCTGCTTTTGAAATGAGGTTGATTAGCCTTTGAAATAGACTGATCAACCTTGGAAAAGGGGTTGGTCAGCCTTTGAAATGGACTGATTAGCCTTGGAAAAGGGGTTGGTCAGCCTTTGAGATGAGGTTGATCAGCCTTAGAAAAGGGGTTGATCAACCTTTGAAATGGATTGATCAGCCTTTGGAAATGGACTAAAAGTCCCTTGAAATGAGGTTGACCAGCCTTGGAAATGGATCTGATCTGCCTATGAAACGGGTCGTGCTTTAAGGAAGGGTGAGCCAAAGTGCCACGCTGCTTCGATATTCGAGCCAATGATTACCTTGGGTGGATGATCTGTAAGAAAATCTGAAACGATCTAATCATGCTAAACAATTATATATAGCAATTAGATCAACGCGGAATAGAAAGAGTTGGACCAAAACGTACCTCCCGCCATTGCCGTTGTCTCGTACACATTCGAGGGT